ATAATTTTATTTCAATACACTGGCACTAACCAGAGCGCCTAAAAAAATTCATAAAAACATGCCTTCTTTTGACCGAATTAACTATACCCCTCCCTTAAATGCGCGCCAAAATTTTTTTTCAGACTTACAACGCAAACTTTAATCAACTACCGCAGTACTATCATGAGTTAAATTGGCTAACAACCTAACAATTTTGATGCTCATAGCAGCAAAATCAAAGAGCGATATTTAGCGCACACTTCCAACCGAACCGGCTCAAATGGCTAAAGTCGGGTCTCGTTATGAATAACGACGGTTGTCGTCCACGAACGATAAGTATCGTTCATGAACGACAAAGCATCTTGGATCTTAATAATGTTGAATGACATTACAAATCTGTAAATAATTAATTTATATTGCGAACAATATTACCTCGGCCGGGAGTCAAACTCGAATCTCTGGCATTCCGTGCAAGCGTCCTAAGCCTTTAAACTACCGAGACCTTAGTAATATTCTTCGCAATAATCAGCCGAGGTAATATTTTTCGCTATATAAATTAATTATTTACAGATTTTTAATGTCATTTATAGATTTTAATATATCATTCAACATTATTAAGATCCAAGATGCTATAAGCATCAAAGTTGTTAGATTGTTAATCAATTCGTGATAGTATTGCGGTAGTTGATTAGAGTTTGCCTTACAAGTCTAAAAAAAAATTTCAGCGTGCATTTAAGAATCTATATACGTAGTATATAAATTCACACGAAATTATAAGCATCTAAGATCCAGTTTGATCGTTACGGCATGTTCTCATCGGTATATATTTTGTACATTATATATATTATGAATAAATACACATAATATCTAATATTACACAATTTTGTATGAAATATTACACATAACATAATGGAATATTTTATTTAATTATAACTAAATTAATTAATAGTTATGATTAAATAAATCATACTATTTTGAATTATAAAATACAAATAATTTATACCTGATGTTCTACACTGAGACCGTATGGATGTTGACGTTCTAACCTTGGTCCCAAAACATCTTCTAACTCTGCTACAATGTTTGGGCTCACTCTGTATAATTTGACAAACTAATCATCAGTTAAATCAAAAGGATCGTGGTTATTTCGCCACTGACTCCTCTGTACGCGGCATTCCAATTGCTCTGCTCTATGCTCTAAGTTTATAAGGTCCCATGCAAGGAACTCGTCAGCCATTTTTTATAATGCTGTTCAAATGTAAAAAATATGGAATTATAATAAGTGATAGATCGATATGTAAATAACACAACAAAAAAGATATTTTTGGAATATGTCCTTTCAGTTTCAAATGAGTAAGTAAACGTAACTATACTTTTACAAATGTAAAATTTGAGGTTAAAATTTTACAGCTAAATATAAGATTAGAGTTGCATTCTGTTTCATGCATAATGCGCATGATTTATCCTTTTACCCTTGTTTAATATTTTTTAAACAACAAGGATATCCATGATACATCATACGCAGCATGCGTAAAACAGAATGTAACTTAGACACATAAAAGACGAGCCACGTGCATATGACGAGGCATTTAGTTGCGAAATTTCAACCTTAAATTTTTGGCCCACTATATAAAGCTCAAACCAAAAAGACATTTTTCTACATTAATTTACATTCAATAGTTCAATATTTGAAATAAACTTACCTCTTACAACTTGGTAATACGAATCTTCTTCTCTTTGAGTCACACGAATCGCAGCCGAATCGCAAGGCACCTTAAGTCATAATCGGTGAAGTTGGCCAATAGCCAACTTGAACGACTTGGTTAAGACCGGTTAAGACTTCTGACGTTCTGACTTGCGGCTTATTGTAGAAGGTCTATTAAGGAATTAATCAATCATAGTCGATTATTCTTCTCACATTCAACTGTGATTGATCAATTTCTTAAGGCTTAAGGCTTACTACTCTATTGTGTTTGTGGACTAACGCATAACGCATAGTGCATAAGCGAATCAACTAATCAGAAGCTTTCCTTTCTTCTCATTCCATGGAAAAGAAGAATTTTAATTGGTTGATTCCATTATGCACTATGTATTATGCGTTATGTAAGAGTGTGTGCTGCGGCCATTAATCTGGAAACACAATAGACACAGGCAATAGGCACAGGCAACAGGGAATAACGAGCCATCCAATCAGAGCTTTGGGGTATAAGTTTGATATTATATCCCAGAGCTCTGATTGGACGGCTCGTTATTCCCTGTTGTCTGTGCCTATTGCCTGTGTCTATTGTATTTCCAGCTTTACCCTAAGTCCGGATCTACAATAGGTGTTTTATGCCTTATGCCGTAAGAAACTGACCAATTACCGTCGAATCCGAGAAGAATAAGCGACTGTGATTCGCCCATTTCTTATGGCTTAAGGCTTAAAACCCTATTGTAGATCCGGGGTAAAGGCCGCAGCACACACTCTTGCATAAGGCATAATGCATAGTGCATAAGAGAATCAACCAATCAAAATTCTTCTTTTCCATGGAATGAGAGGAAAGGAAAGCTTCTGATTAGTTATCTTTTTTAGCAGGATTTATCGTCAAAAAATCTGTCGGTTAACCCCGGATCTACAATAGGGTTTTAAGCCTTAAGCCATAAGAAATGGGCGAATCACAGTCGCTTATTCTTCTCGGATTCGACTGTAATTGGTCAGG